ATTATTATTATTATCATTATTATTATTATTATTATTATTACACTCACTCTTACCATTATCATCACCATCTTATTCATATACAATACATACCATTAAAATTTTGATCATAACTCATTCATATTATGTTTTCATTTGCGTAATCCTGCTGTTATTGTTGCTGTTGTTGTTATTATTTAAGAAGACGATAGCGATAACTGATAACATAATCGCCATACCATAAAAGCATCTCACAAACCATCGGAACCACCTCCATACACCTACTACTTCAACGAATCGTACAGTTCCATATCTGCCAGAGCACTTCCGCACAACTCTGGCAAATCCTCAGCGATCACCTGAAATATTCATTCAATTTATTACCTATATCATAACCACCCTTATCAAATCAAATTAACCTACCCCTTGCACTGTGTTCTCTTCACTCTCCTTCTGCAGTTCCTTCTTCAACTCGTCCACCGATTTCGATGTCGATGTTTTATCTTCAGTTCCTTTCTCCTCCTCTTCATTTTCGTCGAACTCACCCGCTTCCAACAACGATTCCAACATCCACAACAAATGATCGTTTCCGAAGATTGGCACCAAATTCCTAAAAATTTCATATTTTTATCAACCAATCAATCAACAATTTCTTCAAATACACTTATAATCACCTCTAAACAACTACATTTCAAATATCCATCACAATATTAACTCTTCAAACATCTCATGAACGTATAACAATTAATATCATCAAATCAAATAACGCAATAAAGCAACACAAAACAAAACGATAACTCACTCCTCCGTGTCCCAAATCGCCCTTTCGGGCAATCCCTTTGCCATATGTTCACGATCCGACTGATGTTTCCTCAGCTCTTGCAATGAACCAAAATCCGTTTTGCCGCACACGAAACAATTCGCATTGTAATTTTGTTTACGAATGAAATTGATCATCTTCATGCGTTCGTACGTGTTCATTTTCTCCTTTTCAATCTCGCCCATTATATCGAAATTGTGCTTCTCCTACAAATCACCAAATAAACATCCACAAACCTAACCCTTTCTCACTTCTCAAATCACTACCCCTCTGCTAAATTCCCAAATTAGTTCCNCACTAAAAATTGCTCCATATAAATAAACAAACCTCTTAAGATAACAAAATAACAGAACCAAACAATCACCTTGATATGTTCAATCAACGGTGCGGCATGATCATTGCTCTCCTCGCAGAACAGACACACCACACGTGTCTGCTCTTCATCCAGATTATCCTCTTGCCATTCATGCCACGAATCCCTTCAAATCCACCAAATCAAATCCCATATCATCTCCCAACAACCACTACTAATCCACCACCCAACAACTCAAACCAATTCAATAAAATAAACCGTACTCTTCCTCCTCCTCATCAGAATCGACAAATGTCGGCATTGTATCCTCGAAGTCCTCAGCCAGCACGTCCAACCATCGTTTTCCCAGTTCCAAATAGTTGATGATATAAAACTTGTCATAATAATTGTTCTTCGGGTTCACCTCACGATGGTTTCGTTTACGCATGTGATCCATCAGTGTGATGCGGTCGCTGAATGTCTTCTCGCAGTAAATACACTCGTTTCTGAAACTTCTCTTTATGAAACGTTGAATATGCAAAATAAAATTCAATACCATAATCATAAATTTCATTTAAAATGGAACAAAAACTAAATAAATAAACAAATAACTAATAAAGATTCACAAACAAAAAATAACCTTCCGAGTTTCTCCTTCAGATGTTCGATGTATTCTTGTACAAACACTGAAATTCAACTGCATCACTGCCCATTCTANCAACGAACCAAGATTATCCGGTGATCCTAAATTCAAGTGATGTATCATATACAAGTGGTGAATGATCTTCGAACGATTGCCACGTGCCGTGTAACGACAGAAGATGCACTGCAGTGAGAAATTCGCATCGTCACGTTCACGTTGTTGACATGACAGAGCCTGAATTACTCTTATGATAGCCTTTGTTCATCATCATTACCATAACTATTATCACTATTATCGCTATTCTCAAAAAAGACCCGACCCCAGCTACAATTCCAAGTTAACCATAATAAAATTTCCGAGCTAACCTCTTCCAGACGTCTCATCGCAAGCCTCTGTCTTAGCGAGTAATCCTCTGGAAGCGTTTCACTCAGCTCATAATAGTAATCCGTCTTGCCAAAGAATGGTGACCCTTCCTCGGGCACCACCTTTGGAAATATCTTCTCGACACTCTCCTTTGCGAAACGCTGTCTCCAATACTCTACGTACCTAATAACAATAACAACTATGTTTCCATAATAATCACACAATAACATCACAAACAAAACCATAATAATACCAAATAAACATACCGTTTCGGATCAACGATCAAGTCCATCTCAACAACAACGATGTGATGTTCGCTGAGCAAATGTCTGCAAATCACTCCACTCATCAACAATTCATCATTAACATTCTCCAAAAAACCAATTCACAATCAGACAAATGAATAACTGAATGAAAATCAACACAATGTAAAAAACTGTCAAAATGACTCACTCAGCGAAAAGTGGAATTTGGTCGGGTAAATCGAAGAAATGCAAACAACTCAAGCACATCGTTGGTCCACCCCATTTCGGACTGTAGCCAGTCACCGGTACCGTTCCCGACAGCGTACGAATACGTCCACGCGGAATCGGCAACGACAACTTCTTCACACCTCTCGGTGGCTCGTCGTCCGAATCACTGAACGGCTCGTCCAATTCAACTGAACAAATGAAATGTTTCAGTCCGGATTCAATTCACTAAAAACCTTCCATCACATAAAATTATTTACACAAAACAATCAATAATAAACAACCATAACAATATTCCCAATGAATATTCCAAATCACATTCCCGCAAATACTTACAATCGTCATCATATTCATATCCTTCGGATGTCATCGAGGTGGTTGAAGCCTTTGTACTACGACGCTTGTTCCTTGCTAAAAATACTAGTAAAAACCATAACAACAAGAACAATAACAGTAACAAAACAATCATTATTGGTATCATTATCATNATCTCCCATTCTTATTAACAAACGTAATAAATAAATCCACTACCATATTAAACTCTCATTCCCAGCCACAACAACACGTTGTTCTTGGCTTACCATAAATCAACAATACATAAAATGAAAAATTCATTAAAACTAAAAATAAATGTGAATCGAAAGCAATCCTCACATGCATTACGCCTGTTCGATGATGCTCCATTCGACGATGCACGATCCCCGGCTGCTCCAACTACCTTATCGAACGCTTGATTCGACGAGCTTGATCTCGGTTTGTTATCACTGCTCCTATCCCCACCACCCGAACCACCTTTCTTATTCACCACCGAACTACTCGTCGTATTCCGACGATACTGCTCTCGACCACTTGTACGTCTTCTATTCTAAAACATTATGAAACGCCACAATTATTTCGCTATCTCAACAATCCAGCAATAAACATCAATGCCAAAAACGAATTCCATGAATAATAAACATTTCACAAACAACATTATAACCATAAAACTAAAATAATTTCACTCTCATATGATCGTCATGTAATCACTCATTTTATCCTCTTCATTTGAGGATGGATCAAATTCAATACCGATGAGATTCAAAACAAAAACACCTATCTACACAAACAATTCAAAAATTGAGAAATTCAAAATATAAGATGAAAACTATCCAACAAATAAAGTTCCAAAAAGCAAATGAACAAGCAATAAAACAAGCTGCACTTCTTCACCTTTGTCGTTGACAACGATTCACTGCTACGTTGATGCGACGAAGCATTTGGAGCATTCGGTGGATTGATTCCATTCGCATTGCTCATCATCACCACGGGCGCGTTACGACTGAACTGAATCTGATTGCGTTTGAATGACACTTGATCTCGTCGCTTATTGCTAGTGCTATTGCTATCCACCGGTCCATTCGCTGCTGCTGTTGCCTTCATACTCGTCGTATCTTGCTTCTTGAAACTAACTGTTGCCGCTTGAGAGTGTTGGCGAGTGGCTGCACCTTCTTTCTTTTCGGTAACATTTCCACCAGATGACTGCTGCTGATTACTGTTCATCTTCTGATTACTTTCACTGATATTATTGTTATTATTCACAGGACCATTCGATTTATCATCTTTCTGCGTTGTTTGAGATGGCGGCGGTACATTGTTCACGGTGGCATTGTTCGCATTAACAGAAGCCATGTTTTGGTTGTCTTGAATTTGTTATGTGTCAAACTTGAATTGAGTTTGTTCCAAAGACAACGATAACAAAATTCTGAGGGGGCCAAATTGAGCGAATCTTACGATTTGTCACTGAAATTTGCACTGAACAGAACAACTTGAAACGTTCAGCGTTCCGCTGATCAAATTCAAAAATAATATCAATCTATTCATCAACGAATTGTTAACCATTACTGCACCCAGCTCTTGAATAATCCAAAAAATCACCTCTTCAACTGCTCAATAAAGCCCTAATCAAACATTTTTAAACCAGTATGAATAGGTAACAAATAAAGTCACGACGATCACATGTACAATTTTCTTCAATTTGTCGGCATATCATTAGGAAATCTCTCCAACTAAATTATCAGCATTGCAGAATTCTAAAATCAACCTCAAAACGCTACAATAAATGAAACAACTCAACAAAATCGAAAATTTCCTCAATGAAAGAACCCAACAATTATCAACCATCAATACATCTCAGCTAAATTTACATAATACACGAGCCAAGTCAAGCGTGTGAGAATCAACTATACTATAAGTGCGTGCAGAAAGAAATTTAAACGAAAAACTGAAAAAAGCTAAATTGCTTCATGGCCGCGCCGCTTTCTCACTGAAACTTTCCGATACAAAAACAATTCGTCTAGAAGACGTCGTAGATCGTCAGAAAGCGATCAGATCAATCGAAATCGATTACAAACTGATCATCAATCATCACATGATCACGTTGAATCAGCTTAACAAAAAAAATAAGCCAACATATTCAATTGAACTGCTAATATACATATTGAATTAAGCAGTTGGTGTTTCGCCACAAACACTCAAAACCACGTGCCTCCTCCTTTCCCTTTCTGATACAATCGATGCAAACAAGCGATTTTACTCTACTAGCCAGCCAGCTGTTACTAACTAATTCTATAGCACAACAATTCTATTGAAGCTGCGGCATTTTCCATTGGAATTTTCAAATTTTCACCGATTTCGTGCGAATTTCTTGAAGAATTCTCAAGTGTTCACAGTTGACTTCACATGGAATGGCTAATAAAGGATCACAAAAAACCCACAAATTTTCTAAGTTTCATGACAGAATATATAAAATTTCCAAGAGTTTCATGACATTTCCCATACACATGCAATGCGCAGTAAGTGCATGAGATGTGGCCGCATACATACAAAAGAAACGAAACGTCGAGCATGAATAGGACATAGCATATGATAGACGTTTGTTATTAGATAGTGTATCATGAATTTCGTTAGTGATCATTTTGTTGTTGTTATTATAAGAGTTTCGTTCGTTTGTTCGTTGGTCGTCGAATGTCGATTCGTGCTGAGATGTGCATTATTTCAAAGAGGCAAACACTCTTCTCATTTCTTAGAAATTACTCCTTAAACCTTTTACTTCCCTTCTCAATCTTCTCCAATGATGAAAACTTTCTTTGAAATATTAGATAGTCTGGACTAAAAACATTAAATCGTTATCTCTTCTGCTGCTGCTGCTGCTGCTGCTACAAATCTTCCAACCCTGACCTAACGNTTTTCCCGTCAAATAACCTTTCCAAGTACGATAGGACACGATAAATTCTTCGGAAAACCCAATTATCTGTCCACAATTCGATGAATCTCCCCTTTTATTCTTCACTAAATCGAATCCTCATTAAATCAACTGGAAATAATACTTCCGTTTTCTAGAAATTACTTCCCATCACCGTTCTCATCCACGAAATATCAGAAATTGTCGATCAGAGATCAGAGCACTTCAGTCATCACACCACAAATCATATCACATCGGCATTCATCCGATCAAACGAACCAACCCAAATACACATTCATTAAGAAATAACATCAAACTATTCCACTCAAGAATTTCACATAAAACAAATGACGAATTGAAATGAGATGGAACTGAACTGATTCGTTGGAGAAGTTTTTTGAAGGAAAGAAAAATTGAAGATTAATGAAACGAATTCATTCAACACATAATTCTTGGCATATAAACAAATAAAAACCAATATAAACATCATCTCAAATCCGCTCTCTCGCTCAGTTCTTAAGAAACGCTCAAATAAACATCACAAAATCGATAAAATCGATCACGATGATGATGGTGATGATCGAAGATCGATCGAAGCCAAATTCATTTAATTGTCTTCAGGAACTCAGAAATTCAACGCATTATTCACTTCTAAATCAGAAATTCTTTCGACTACCTTCGGCGATGACCAATTGGGATAATATCGTCGAACAAATAGATAAAGAAGAATAAGAATAACGAAAAAAATGAAATGATCATTCAAAATGAATGTAATGTATTGATGAAATTATTAGTTGACTGAATTTGATGAAACAAATGTAGATGATACACTATGATTTGATATGATGACCGGAAAATCTAATTTCACACAGTCAATTTTACCACTGCAAATATCAGTGAATATTATAGATTTTGGTTGAAATCTTCAGGATTAAGTTAAACGAATGATACCCATCGCTTACGCCATTTGTTTCGTTCATTCGAAAATATTAATTTGAAAAAGAAATTAGTTTCAAGATATGAAATGATCAAAAATCGTCGTCCGATTCAGCTATTGTTGTGCGTAAATCGAATTTCAATAAATAAATCGAATAAATTCCAAATTTCACAATCAAATCAGCACCATCCTATTCAACGTATCAATTGAACTGCTTGTGCCTTTCATTGATTATCTATAATATCTCATCGCTGCTTCCATTCAGTAGACAAACAAATCGAAAATCGAAACTTTTTCGGTGGTGCAAATTCCAATCGTGAGGAAATCTTTTAAAATTTTCTTCGAGACAGCCAAAAAAAACCCGAAATTAGAAAAACCAAAATCATTTCCAAGCGATACAACGCTACTCGTTCACAAGGTATCGCCAGGCACTACCAGCCCGAACGAAGCCCGTAAAAACAATTCACCAATGCTAACGGCGTTCTTGACTTGATAATAGCGTCAATCGGAATATTACAAATGCTAACACTAATATTCAATAATCACTAATAATCATTGATAATAATAAAAGTCATAATACTTAGAATAATATTAATAATAACGATAAGGAATATTAATATCATGAAATAATAATAATCACAATGATATCAATACCCTACTGATATCACTATCAATATATCACGAGAAATGATCAAATTCAGCAAAGCGTATGATATAAACTGATGACCAGTCCAGTAAAAAATCGATAATTGAATCGATCAATCGCTACCAAAACACTATCACTTATCAGTAATCACATTCACTGCAGATTAATCTCACAATTTTGTTTGTCTCATTCCTATTCCATTATTCATTTCCATATGGCAACAATGTCTATTGATATCCGAATGAACACAAATAATTATTCACTGAATATTTTGCAGTTTTCAAAAAAAAGCCAAAACAAATATAAACGTATTTGCATTATGGTTGCACAGCAAACAAACACTTTTTGAACGTTGTCGATTTTCGGCATCATAATAAAATTAATCCGACTGTGACTCAATCAATCAATCTACCGTCAAATTATGCATGATGCTATTACACTGTACTGCTGCTATAAATCTACTAAATTACTTTGAATATTACTCCAAATGCTATCGGCTATTATTATTCTCATTGCTATGTCGTTATTATTACAACCATTAAAATGACTCTTCTCAATGCTGTTATTTTTGATCCCCGTTATCAATCTTATTATATTCAACATCGTCCTATTAAAGCATGAACGAGCAGAATATCGAAAGCTTGTTCTGATGGAAAATAGCTATTAAATGGCAAATAGAAATGTACATTCTCCACAGAAGTAAGCACCACCGAAGTTAGCAACATATATTTCACCATCAGCATTGATACAGATGATCGTAACGATTACGAACGATTGTAAGCACGCGAATTTCGATGCTTGATGCGATTGTCAGTTAGACAAACCGAACGACTGATCGATCGTATATGGGAAATTTGTTACGAAATAATAATAATTTTGATGACGAAATCCATTCGCACTCTCACCAAACACACAACAGAATTTCCGAATAACAATGCACAGAAACTTCCTCACCTTTTCCAGTGGACTGCGATGGTTTTGCAGGATTATTCTGTTTTACAGTAACGGCAAACAACTGTCGATTAGAATATAGATCTGAACAGTAGTGATAAAAAGTGATAATAATCTTCTTCTAATTGATAATCTAAAATGTTTTATTATCATTACCAAACCATAACAAACAATAACTTCATGAAGAACACCTAACTACAATCTGTTGCTATATTATGAACAGACTTTGTTTCGATGGAACTTTATATTGGGTAGGAACGGAACCAACAAACGATTTGTCATTCGCATATCATCACAACAAGCGATTAAACAGCGATCAGCGAATTGAAATCGCTCAGTACGATCGAGTATCATCCAACACGCATAACACGTCATATCGAACGCAGTCTCATGATCGCAGTCACGAATAATATTCATGATCGTCATCAATAATATATTCATAATATTTTAACGTCAAAACAAAGTCGCCATATTCACACATATTACAAATTCACCATTACAACATTACAACTGTTTGTGAAACGAGTCAATGATTAACGAGAAACAAGGTCTGATAACACGAAGTTCAATTAACAATATTCTCGATACTGTTATCATTATGGACAGTATATGGCCTTTGAGGTTATCAGTGGTATTGTCATTGAAACAAGTAAGACGATCCTTGTGACACTGGCAGCGATAATAAGAGACCAATAAAAATAAACATTGAGGTTCAAAAGCAAACAGTATCGGTTGACTACCGGCTTTTATCATTTCCTTTCAACATTTCTTTGGATTGCTATGTCTTGACTCACGGCTGTGATTTGAATCCCTTCTAAACATTCTCCTCAAATAAACATCATCGATGTTAGCATATTTTTATTATCTGATCACGTGGTCAAATATTTCGTCCTAAAAAAAGAATCCCTTTCGAT